AAAGCGGCAAAAGCCTTTCACGGCAAATGGTCGCCGGTGGGTGGCCAAAAGCTGTAAAGGTGAAGGTCAGTCCATGGCTCCCTCGAAAGTGGAACGTGCTCGTCTTAGACCGGGCTTAACTCGGCGTCCGGTTATCCAGTCCTTTCGGCCAGTCCAGTCACTCGGCCAAGTTACTTCATTTGGCACTGCTGACCTCCTTGGGGCTGCATTATTATCATTGGAGTTTTCCTGACCGACTTATATTATGTCCTTGCCGTGGGATTATGGCGTGTTAGCAGGTAGTTTGTGCCCTCAACCTACTTCACCCCCCTTCACCTCGTCCTCAACCACCTGCCCCAAAAAAAAGATGCACGTATAGCGGTGGCGAAGTGATCCGGAGGTGAGGTGGTCATGTAATGAATTGTGTGCCAGGCAGCTTGATGTTTTGTTTGCTGCTCAATTTACCCAGACAGTTAATCACATTGCGTGAAAGCTAATGTCATTAGGAGAGCTTCGTGCCCTGTTTACGCACCCTCATACTTTGCGTTTCTCGCCTTCGGCATAACGAATAAATTTCCCATCAGATTCTCTGTCGATGCCGGAAATATCGTGACTTAAAGGGAAAGTTCTTTTTGACCAGAACTCACTAGAAATTCTTACCTTTGCATAACATATTTTAATACTGTAAAGCAGAACCCTTTTAATTGTTAATCAATTGCGGCAAATTTCTCGGTCAGTTAACTCAAACAAAAGTAAACATGAAGAAGCCTTAAAGAAACTGAACATATGCCAAAGAAAACCCAGCCACGAACAATTGATCAACTTTCCGGCTATTGTGCTCGAGTATCGGAGTAGGCCGACACCCTTTCATTATTGGTAACCCATCTCTTACCCCTTTTACGAGCATATCGCTAGTTTGGCCAAGGCTCCGCCGTACTGCAACAATAGCCGCCGGATATTGGGCGTATAAAAAGTTACATATGTATGGCGCAACTTTAGTTGCCAATTGTGGGAGTGGGTGTAAGGATATGTGTGTTCGCTTGGCCCCGGGGTCCTCAATTAATTTCATTTAGGGAGTGGCGCACAAGGGGGCCCTTGCTGTAGCTAAACACATCCAAACAAAGGAGCACACACAGCCAGACACACACGATATTTTCAATTAAGCTGCTGCAATACCAGCAGAATAATAACAATTACAGCATGTGCGACTCGAAGTAGAGCGGCGCGGTTTAAAGGAACGCCCTTGCAAAGGACTCAGTCATCCTTTCTTGAAATAGGTTCTGCTTGTGCACTCTGTCGATTGTCGATGGAAACAATGAACGAAATTAAAAAGCTCCTTTATAGTTTAGCACAATTTAAAAGGAGATGTAGCTTAAGTTTTTAAATTAAAGGCAAAGGTAAGTAATTTATTAAACAAGAGAGGTTGAATAAGTAACCCCATTGAATGGTACTTACCTATAAAATTTCCAAGCACTCATTTCTATTTGTACACAAAAACATTATATTTAATCTAATTATAAAAAAAAAATTTGAGTTACATGCACAACAAAATTACAAAATCCCTATTTCAGCCAACCTTGTTCAACATCAGACGAGTGGCAAGACACAATTTAATGTGGGGAATAGGTGATGTGGATGTGGATGTGGGTTCGAGGATGTGGAGACGTTTCTGCTGTAGCAATTTCAGAAATACACGACAAGGAGGCAAAGTTACACACAGTTCGGTAAATGAATTGCTGACAATTAGTTGAATTTGTTGGCACAGTCAGCTGTGGCAAGCTGGAAAACTTTGCTAGCGGCAATCAAAGCAGCTGCCACAGCGTGCGCCACTTGATGAGACCCTAAATCCTTGCCCGCTGCTGTTGGAATTGGAGTTGTTCTTGTCCCGGTTATGGTTATGTCATGCCGAACTTTTCTATTGCATTAGTTTTGTGTCAATAATAATAAAATCCCCTCGGTGGGCCCTCAAATTCGAGGATAATACTAAGAACTTTATGTGACAATCAGATGGTTTAACTAAGGCTATTTGGCAAGATCTAAGATGTATTGTTTTCTGATGAAATAGCGAATAAAAACCTTATGTTTTAAAGAATACTTTTGTTTAACAACCTGTAGGGATAATAACTAACAGTTATTTGTCATCCCTCTTTGAAATAAGTTCAAATTGAGCTCGAAGAGCTGTCTCTCAACACTTTTTAGCATCAAATATTTATAACTCTCGAAAAGGTCATTAACATTCATTTAGACAGCAAAACAATGCCATGAATAAACAATTAAACGTTTCGACTGCCCAAGGCAGAGGGAAAACCTCTCGGGAGAAACAAAAGACTCACACTTGACAACTTTCCGGAAGTGCCTTTATTCGCTGCTTCCAGGAAAAGAATAGAGTTGCAGCATCTTGGCTTCCAAACTGGACAATCAAAGAGTCGAGGGCTCGCTTAAAAAATGCTAACAGCGCAGTCACAAATTGCAATTCAAACTATGCATGTGTTAATTATTTATGCCCAACTCCTCTCCCGGAAAAAATTCCACTCCTGGACCGATAAATCAGTTGGCCATAAGAAGCTATCGCCTTGTAAATTCCACCTTTTGCGCAGAAAAAGAGTTCCTCGTGTAAATTATACAAATTATTATTTAACTCCAAGCTGCACAAACGACTGCGATTGGAGTTGCATTGCATATACAGTGGGGAAAAAATTGTATAGTTATGAACTATATTCTTGGTTCTACAATTTCTTGAACTTTAATTTCATTAGTGCTTTGGAAGACCTAAACTTATTCAAACCACAATACTCTTAGGTTGTAAACTTTTAAACTTGTTTTTCCCTGTGCACTTCTTGGCTTCTTGGTCTTGGCTGGTTTCTTGGCCAAAGTTATGCACAGACAAATCGCTTATTTAGATTGGAGCTGACAACCGAGGTGGTGGGGCAAGATTGCAAAGGCAGCCAGAAAAAAGGAGCTTCAACACGCAGGCGCGACTGCATAGATACAGATACAGATGTATCCGCAACTGGTTGCAAGATCTTCATTCTGCAACAATTTGCCGCAGAGGAAGTCTTTTTGCTTTTGCTTTGTCAGAGGCGTGTTCATGTTGTTCAACAAAACCAACAAACTGTCTACTTAGGTTAAGCCCAGCTACTTGGTAATTGTGGGGAGAATCCGCTGCAAACCGGTGATCATTTTCAATTAGAGACCCCATCGCGGGGCGTGATTTAGAAGCTGTTGTGGGTAAGACGGTAGCTTGACTCCGATTATGGGATAAGTGCGGGAGCATCGTTTATAAACTCAATGCTAACGAACCAATGATTTGCAGCACTTTGCAGATTGTTGTTAGATTAGCGTTCGTAATAAATGAGGCTTCTCCCTGATGGAAGGAGTTGCCGGGTGTTGTCTAGACTTCTGATTGCGAAACAGCAAGTTGAAAAGAGGAAAGCCTCTACCTGGTCCTGCGCATTTGTCATAATAAAATTAGCATTTGCCTGGGTCAACAGGAGACAGTTCAGAGAAACAGGATGCAGTACAACGAAGGGTGGCAGCAATGGCAAAACTTTAAGGGTGTTCACAAAACCACTGACCAGACAAGAAAAAACCAATGAAAAAAAAAACAAAAATATTTTTTAAAACTCCATACTTATTTTAAAAGGCAATTTAATTTAATTTAAGGCATTAAACTAATATATCCTAAATTTTATTAAGCATAGAATATAAGAATCATTCTTTTTTAGTTGCCAGTGCTGTTCTTAATTTTCCGTCCTGAAATACAAAAGTATTTCCTGTCTAGCCGGTAAAACTTTCAGTTGCCTTTACAACATATTAGCAAAATAGCCAATTCGATTGCAACTCTATTAGTCTTACATTTGATTCGCAATCGCTTTCGATCTGCTTTAAATGACCAACAAAATGCACGAAATCCTTCAAATTCCCGAAACTACCGAATACTTTGACTTGCCAGCGGCAATATTGTGCTGACTAAACGGAAAGAGTCCGGAATGTAAAGCGAAATCAAATCACGTACAGTTGTCCGTTCCGTTACTGGCCAATATCTGCTGACCAAATTTCACGCAGCTGCAACAAATCAAAGAGCAAAACGCCGGCGACTGAGGAGACCGACTGCTGGGTCGAGTGCTAAATAAATTGAAAATTCTAAAAATTTTAATAAAAATTGTCGCAATATTGCAATAAAATTCGCATGATTGGCGGCCGTTCTGTTCTTCGATTCGGGTGATATTCTGATTTTTAAACCGTCTATGGGGTATCACGTGCAAATGCAATTGCGTTTTTTCAAACACCAACTGCAGCTATTTTTTTTATAAATATTTCATTCTTTTTTTTTTTTTTGACTCTCATACTTTGTCTGTGTCAGTTAAATTTGGGATTTTGTTGTTCAGATAGTTTTTCGGATTAAATGCAGGTGGAAGCTTATTTAAGGGAAATGGCGATTCTCTATCCTTCATGTTGTTTAGTAACAGATATTTAAATCGTTCGTTGGCTTACACTTGACTGTTAAAAACATAAGCATTTTGCTCTAGAATGTTTTTTTCTCGATTAAGCTGCTTTGCTGTTTTTTATTAAAAAGAATATAAAACAAATTTAAAACATTCTGGTAACGAATAACAAAATTTAACTTTTTCTACCTATTCAAGGCACAAAGGCTTGGAATTAATGCATTTCTTTTTTTGAACATCTCATCCAGAAAATAAATTTAATTGAATTTCATATAGTCTTTAAAGCGAAACTATCAGATTAATTAATAATATTTATGTGCGGTATTCGATGCACACGCTGAAAGAAGCGGAAGGCATTGTTTGCTCGCTCGAATTTGACAGATACATAATTAGTTTTTGCGCACCATAAGGCCGCAGGTGCCGTTGCTGTTTTCATTTGTCCGATGCACCAGACAATATCTCTCTCTATATATATAAATGTGTGTATTTTTTTTAGCCACAAAAGCTATCCGTGTTGGCGAATTTTATGCGCCAGAGCTGCGAATGAATTTTATATAAATGTTTATGGATATTTACCTCGAGCGGCGGCGGCGCCAATGCAAAAGCCGAACAGCAGCAGGCGGCAGAGCCAACTGGATGTGGATGTCCTAGTCGCCATTTTGTCGAGCAGCGAGAATGGCGGCGTCTTTGGCGCCATTGCGTTTTGCTTTGCCAAAAAAATGTCACAACAGCTGCAAAGAGAGTGGCGGAAAAAAACGGATAGAAGTGTTGAGATATTTGCTCGCAATTCGCTGTCCCACTGCAAAACAGTTTGATTTCCTAACAGCAGTAAGTAAATTTAATGCAAAACATTTACTTTCAATTAGAGTTGGACCCTCCCTTCGTTTTCAATCCTCCACTTTCGGAGCAGGGCAATTTTGCGCGCCATAAAACTCGAATCAATTTCGCTAATTAGCAAGAGTCTCAGTAATCGGAGAGCGTATTTTGTAGGAGGTAAAATACACTTTAAAACTAGTTTTTTATAAAATCAAAAGAAGTCAGTTTAATAAAATCAAAATACAGAAAAGTCTCTGAAATAAAAACCAGTTGATGTATATAAAGTATTCATCATAGATTAAAGTTTTTTCTTTTATATTTCTTATTTCTGTATTTCTTTTAATAATTATTTCCTTTTCTCTACGCACTCAGTGTAAAATAGTTTACGTCGCAGGAAAGTGCGTTGGAAGGTGTTTTGCAGGATAAATGTCCCCCAGTTTTATTTCCCCCTTACTTTTCTCCCCCTTAGAAACAATCTTTACGCCTCGCTCGGTTTCATTTCCACAATTTCAATGCCCACATCCCCTCGCCTTTTGTCTTGGCCATTTAATAAGTTAATTGTTACTACAGTTGCACTTTTGCCGCTTTTGAATTTATGATTAGCCACAACCGCCGAGCAGTGCAATCAGAAGCCAAGTATTTAACGCTGCTCAACGACTTGCACTCCCAAGACGCGGCCCACATCCACTCCCGCTCACTTTCCCACCCATTTTGCCACCCACAATGGCCCAGCCATTTTGAGTTGGCCAAGTTTACTTTAAGCCAGCAGTGACAGTTTCACATAAATGTCAACTGCTGCGGTCCTGCTGCGCTTTATGCAGTCCGACTTTTATGCATTTCTAGTGCTTCCCCTCTGATAGAATTCATGGTTGCCAAGGACTACACATAGTCCTGTTTCCCCTCCCAAAGCACCCATCGCGTCCCCCTTTCCCCTCCTCCTCCCTTCCCCTTCCCCCTCCCTTTTCCCATCACATCTTGACTCGTCCGAGTCATTATTGTCGTCTGCTTTTCACTGGCAGCGGCCGCTGTTACTGCTGCCTGACTTTGTGTCAACTCCATAATTATAGTTTTCTGCTATTTTCTTACAGTTTTTGCAACAAAAAACTTTCAATGAGCTGGGCACAGTGGTTTTAAATTGTCAAAGTGTTTTTCTACCAACTATTGTTGATGCGATTGATTTTAAAAGAGTATTAAATATCAAACAAATCCAAAAGAAATATAATTTTTTGGTAGATTGGATAATTAAATAAATTAAGCCTAATGTGTAATTAGTGACTCAAACCTTTTATTTTATATACGAATTTTATGCAGAATTTAAACAACATGGCAAAACGGAGTATGTATTTTTTTCAAATTCATAATTGGTTGCTCCAATCAGCGTGAAAATGGTTTAATCCCCACAAATCCCACGGTTATAGGAACTTAAAGTTGCTCTACATGGAGTGCGGCAGCAGTCATACACATAAAACTGCTGAGATTCTATTAACCCAAGAAATTATGAGAAATGAAAACTTATTACGAGAAGTCATTAAGATTCAAAGAATTAAAAGTTGAAAAAGTAAAACTGAAAATGAAGAAAAGCCGAAGCCGAAGCTCTATTCCTACCGATGGAACTGCTGCTCCTGCTGCTTATATATATACTTATACTATATATAGTAGTACTAAAGTAGTTTCTGAATCGGGGAAGTCGGGCAGCAGTACAAAAACTGTCGAGGACTTATGACAAAGCCAAGGGGGCGTCGGGGGATAAAGAAAAGGCAGAGTCTGCGTCACTGGCAGAGCGTTTTCCTCTTTTCAAGTTTCAACTACTTGGGCGGCAAAGGAAAGTCATAATTGTTAATGGGCTTTTAGCTTAAACGAATTTTTACTGCGAAAATGCCTCTGTAGTGCCAGTACATAATACGCAACTCTGTTTAAGTTTTAATTAGATTTTTTGATATTACCGAATGTGAAATATGGCGAGCGGAGTAAGTTTGATTAAAAAACTTTCGCCTATGATGTATGTTAAATCATATTTTTTGCGCTATTGCATTGTGATTTTTCATTTTCATCGTTTTTATTCTCGTTTTTTCGATTGTTTGTGTTTTTTTTTTTTTTGTTGTCTCTTTAATGCACGCCTGGTTTAATGAGCCGGCTATTAAGGCGCACCATCATTACGCAATGTCAGTTGGCACTTTTATCAATGTTTCCTGTCAGTTTCGAGAACTTTGCGCCGCGTCACGACGTCACGAGTGTCAGCGCCAGCGATTTTCATATTCACTGTGCATTTTTATCAGCCATTTGCCGACTCATTAAGCCAACGTCAATGTTCAGCAGACCACCTCCCAATTCTCCCCTGGGGCCCTGGATCTGATTCTTCTTGATGATGGCTCGGCTGCATTTAAAAAACGTCACTGCCGATTGAGTTTTACATGCTTTTAATTGACGTCGTCATGTAATGAAATTCAATTTATACTGCTCGCCATTAATAGTAACTCATACTGATGGCACACACTATCTTTGTGCAGAGGAAAAAGGTAATAAATGTTTGATTTATTTTGCTATTTTAGTTCAGGTTATTATTATTACTATGCTTTGAGGTGTAAAAAATTACCATCACGAACGTTAATTAATAAATAATTCAATACTTATAAAAAAGTAATGAAAGGAACAAAAAAATCAACAACTGCTGCAACTTTTTTATTGATGAAATCATTCTATACTTGATAAGAGTTTTTTGAAATTTTATTTGAATGCCTCTCTTAAATAAGCAATTTGATGTCCCATTGGTTTTAATTTTCCCCCTGTGTAAAGAACCCGTACCTCAACTTGACTCCAGCCAAGTTAAGTCAAGCTCCTGACATGAATATGCAGCACGTGAGCAGACGAATGAGTGCGGCACGTCCGTAATAGTACCCATGTATCTACGTATATATATGTACATAAAAATGTATATATTATGTATGATAAAATGTGCTATGGAACAACATGAGCCATCGAACATGACAACCAAGTGTCGGACAACTCTCAAATTGAAAATGTATTGTGCATTAACAAGTTGTGTTATGTTATTTTAGCTTGTTCACATTTTCGCCTTTGGAATTTTCATTTTAAAAGCTAAATAGTTGTTGTGATATTAGCTTGTTAAGCAATAAAACCTACATACCTGTCAAATCGCCAAATGACATTTTTAAATTATGTGTGTGTGTTATGTGTGATGGGATAAATTCATTGTTAAATGATTGGAAGCAAAGGCTTTCGAACTCCATAAATATTTCTCATCATATTGATCGAAAACATTTATCTTAATACACACAATTATCAGGCGTTATGTATCCATTTAACAGATGTGACATAATAACTTCAAGCAATTTAAATTTGCATTTAATAACACCTTTGTTCTCACGCGAATGCAAATCAGAAAGAAGAAACAAGTTTCGTCTGATAAAATTAAAGTGAGATTAACAACCACTTAAGGCTTATATAATTTAATGGCCAAACATTTTTCTGGCCATTACGGCGAAGTCTGGTAGCGGGTTTTTAAAGTCGCGTGTCCGCAAAAAACAAAATATATATACATGTATTAAAAAGGAATGAGAGAAGTCGAAAAAGAGAACGGGAGAATAAATCGGTTGTCACGATTTCAATGAAAATTAAAAATCCCAGCATGCATTGAAACTGCGGCGAAAAGCATTTTAATTAAAGTCGGCCAACGCCAACCGTCTAAATTGTTCTGTTCATTCACCAAAAATATTAATTGACTTTTCCGCCGGCCGTCGCGACGGGCCAAAAACATCATTAACGCAAATATAATTACGTGACAATTTGATGCTTTTGCCCAGGCACAAATCGCAAATCAAAAACCGAAATTAATTACACCCAGCAGCCCGGGAAATCGAGGCGTGCTGAGCCACCCAAGGGATCAATCAGTGCAAAGTCGCGAAGGTAAACAATAAAGCTTTTGGCCGCGACATCCATGCAAACATAGCCCGGTCCACAATTCTCAGTCCTCAGTGTCCAGTCAACCGGTCTGGGCGTAAAAAAAGGGTCGTCGACGCTGTTTAACTTTGAAAAATTAAAATCCACTTGGGTCCCTCGCGCCAAACCTCCGCTTCTCCCCCCGAAAAACCAACAGCGAAAAAAAAAAAAACAGCAACCACCCTTCGGATAGTCTCGCATTTTTCAATGGCCAAATAATAAAGTCCCCAAATGTCAGTTGGGAGTTATAATCTGTTTGCCGCTTTTTCATGGTCGCCATTTGACTGCCCAGCGAAAAAAGGGTATATTAAGTAGAGGAAGGCGTTTGCGATGACCATAAAGTGTGTAAATCTGATGGTGGAATTATGTGCTTGGATGATAATAATAAAGTGAGACGACCAATAATGCTTGTGGTAAATAATATAAGTACATTAAAATATATTTTTAGTTTCCAACTTGCTTAAGCTTTGAAAGCAAGGCATACGTTTTACTGTGACCTTATATCTAAAGTAAATTTTGGTTAAAAAATATTTTTAAATTTTTTGAGTAATATGAAATCTTCATAATTAATTATTTAAATTTGTATTATTTATTATTTTTATTCATAAATTGATCTATGCCTTGAGGCAGCTAAACCTAAGAACCCTTAGAGGGTAATCTAATAACCGACCTTTTTTTTCTTCCCCCAATGTCATCGTGTTGTTCTTTTTTGTCTGCTTTAGACCCTCTGACAATGCCGATTAAATGAAACGTAAATTTGCAGCAATTACGAGGGTAAATATGCATTAAAATAAATTTGCATCCAATTATTTTTGGCACATCAAAGTCTCATGGAATTCATCAAATTATCTTGGTGGAGATTTGTCTTTGTTTTTCGTGTTTTGATTTTACCCTCCGTTCTAGCCTAATTACCAACTAAAACAA